TTCGAATTTGTCTTGGTGTTCATTGAAAGAGTGAAAAGTAATACCAGTTGACTATCAAGTTTCAGAGACTTTTCTCTGGTTGTCAACATTTGGAAGCCGCTATATTTTAATCCATACGGAACTTACGCCCAAAAAGCAAATTTGACGCAGGTCTGGTGCAAGAGATATATTCGTCAAATTGCCTCCAAGATCTGACATTAATCCTGTACACTTTAAGATATGGCCTATATAGGAAGTAGTGTTGCTCGCATGCTAAACTACAGCGTGCGACCTGGAAAAAGTACTTATGATTTAATGGTACAATTTGAGTGACGAGGGGAAGTCATGGACTTTCGTTGAGAATAGATTAAAGGCTTTGTCGAAAGATTGGAATGGCCGTTTTGAATTTTAAGTTATATAAAGGCTCAAACATTAGTATTCCATGGTTATAATTTATTATATTGGAATCGTAATCACGATCCAATTCATCAGACCTACAAATTCAAAAAGAAAGAATATTATTGTTTGAGCCTTTTATATTAAATTCTTACTCTGTCCTTGACATCGAGTTCTACCTCGATTCTATCCTCTTGGAGATATATATATATATATATATATATATATTGACCACTAATATTATATATAATGAACATCCTTTAAATCTTCAATTAAAAAAAACCTAAAACATTTTATAATAAAATATAGATGCCTCACCTGATACAAGCGATGAAGAATTGAACAATTTGAAATTACTTCAAAGATTTCCCGCTCATATTTCTCGACAAATGTTTCACAGGAAAAGTTTTCAACAGCTGAAGGGGTTTCGTTTGCGATAGTCGTGTTAATAAACATTTAGGGGCTCGTTATTATGAAGCTTTGTAACGAATGACATAAATGTTTATAAAGAATGATTATATTATTATCAGCTAAAGATAGAATAGTGGCTAGAGAAAGAGAAATATCTTCCAATAAGCCATTGCATCTTTAATGATGAAGCCTTACGTCGACATTACATTAAATATCTTAAGATTTTCTTTATTCTTACTACACAAAAAAAGCATTTTTACATAAGGCACAACTTCATTCATATAGACTAGTGACAGTTAAGTCTAATAAGTGGCGTGATTGATAAGGTTTTGTTTTCGGATTACAATGTACGTTCTCCAGAGATTGTGTCATCTCACAATGATTATCAGTGTTACAAACAGGGATATGGTTACAGATTAGTACTAAAGTAAACTAGTGAAGAGAATCAGTCAAGGAAGATAGGGAAACCGAATAAGGAGAACCAGTGTCAAGAGAAATTAAAGAAGTAATGTGATCTCGTAGAAAGAATGAATGTCAAAATATGAGAAATACAGAAATCAAATAGAGATAAGCAGTATCAACTCGACAAAAGAAATAGTGAAGAGAACGAACCAGGAATATACCAAATAAACGCATTGCAGGATTAATATGAACTGAATTTTCAAGACAAAACAAAAATGAAGATGCTCAGTGACAAGAAAGATAAGATAAAAAAAAACACACTGAATTTTGAGAGCCAGAATTAAAAAAAAAAAACGAAAAAAGTAAAGAATTCTGGCAATGAGAACATCTGTGAGGTCACAAATGAAAAGGTCGAAGGAAAAGAAACAATGTCAATACAAATGAATTAATGTAATCCTTTAAAATATACGAGTGCCAATACAAAAATAAAATCAAGTGAGGAATACTTGTGTAGACATGGAAAGGTGCAAACAGTTTAAGGTGACCTAGTCTCAAGTTAAAAGAAATGGAAAAAATCGAGTGAATTGCAAGTTCGAAAACAAATAAAATCAATCAAATTAAAATTATCGAAGTCGTGTTAAATTAGGTACCTCCACGAGATCGCTAAAAAAAGAGCATAGCATGATGAAAAAGACGCCAAACTTGACGAAAACAAAATTTTATCGTCTAAATGTTTGTTATTATTAAGAGGAAAGGTCAAAAAGTATTTTTGGGGTATTTTTTTCCATTTTTAATCGTTCCTAGCACGTCCGAAATTTTCGTTAAAAATCTTTTTTTTTTTGAGTCAGCAAAATTGACCATTTTTTTCCATTTTAAAAAAACTGAAATCTGACTTTGAAATTTTTTAAATATCAATTATCATTTTTCAAAACTTATTTTAAGAAAATCAGAAATTATAATGTTTATTTAAAATATTTTGAACCAAACTTAACTTAGCTTTTGAGCCAAAAAGATGTAATTTGAAAATAAAACAAAGCAGGTCATAAACTTTCGCGTCTCTTGACATGTGATGAATGATATATTTACGAATTCCATGAAGCTAATTTGTTCTACGGAAGGAGAAAAGTGAAATAATTTACATTTATGTGAACAAATTATTTATCCCGTTATTTTTAACGAAAACTTTCAGCGGTCTAATTTTTTTTTTTTTTGTACTTAGCTTTCACCTTTACGTTTATGATGCTTTATGGGAAATATATTGTAAAGAAATTAAAATAAAACTGTTAAGAGTGACATTAAATTTCATATTTCTTAAGAAAGGTATCTAATTAATTTATAGGTACCTTTCTTATGAAATTTTATCAGAATTGTACATATAATACTATAATTTTATGTACATTTATTACATTCTACTGTTATTTGTATTTGCATTCATTTTATTATTAATTTTGATATTTCATTTATGGAAAAATGTCGTAACTGTGATTAATATAAAAATAAGATCATATAAATTTCATAAGATGATACTGATACTTGTAGGTAACCTTCTCAGTTGAAATTGAAAAATCAAATTAACTTCTCCACACGTGTTTCGCAAAAGTAAAGGCCTTAACAGCGGAGAACAATGCTTAACTCAAATAACGCAACTTAATTATATTCTGGTTGGTCTTCCGTATTTTATAATTACAGCTCGATTATAAGCACAAAATTACATTTCTTAATTACTGGGGATCTTCTGATTAGTCAAAATGATACAATTTACAACGCGCTAAAAAAAATCTTTATTTTTTTTTTATTTGTTTAAACTAACTTTTTCCTCGGATATTAATTTTTGATATACTTGCAAATTTTCATCCGTTTTTTTTTTTTTTACCAACCGACTATAATTATTAGTGGAATATATATATATATATATATATATATATATATATATATATATATATATATATATATATATATATGTGTGTGTGTGTGTGTGTAGTGGAACTGCCTGAAGTCGAAAATGACTAGAACAAATATGAAGCGAAAAAAAAAAAAGAAATACAATAACAAAAATTTTAAAAACAGAAAAAATAAAGATCAAGCGTTTAATGTATAATCGAATGAGGGCAAATAGTATCAGGACAAACTATAAAGGAAAAAATCCAAATGTTGAGACATAAATCCCCGTCTTAACAGAATCTGATCATTTTATTCAGATCTTATAATTAACAATTACAAATCATGAAAACTGATAATTGTTTGTCGTCATATTTTGTATACAAGATGAAATAAAGGAGGCGCCTGCAAGTCTGAATTAGGAAATTTTCTTTAAACATTTGAAACTAGAGATTGAAAGTCAATGCATTTGATATCCTAATATACTTGTAGTACACTGGCATGTTGGCAATAATGTTTCTATCACGAAACAAGTTAATCATATAATTTTATTGACGAAGCGGCTCTTATTTCGCAAGTGATTAAAGCAAATTCAATAAGCCCTTCCTCAGTTACATGTTAACGTTAGGTGGTTGTTTTGTGTGTTTTTTTTTTTGTTTTTTTAGACTAATTTATTAAACTTTATTTAGTAGTGAGAATAAGATTAGCACACACAACGATAATTTAGCATCACCTGTGGCATGAGGTTAATGTTTAATGTAGTAATTCTTCCAAAAATCTCATGTAATATCAATCTTACAATATATCAGTGAATCTTGGTAAATAGCTCAGATGATATGAGGTAACGGATGTGCTCCTACAGAAGGATACTGGGAATAAAGATGACGTATTAAAAATTTGAAAATAATACTTGAAATATCTGGTACATTTGAGGAAAGTGAGCATAGAAAAATTGAAACTCTCGGGCCATATTAAAAGCAAGATGTCCAAAGAGAAACGATGAGTAACCAACCTAAATTACTTGTGCACATGGATGGCAAAACAAGAACTGGTAGCGATAGTAAGAACACACGTCTTGCTTAGAGTTTGTCATGGTAGAGCATTTTGGAAAGCCATGATGATTCGCGTAATGAAAGGACATAGAACAGAATAATAATTGTCGAAACGTTTGAAATTAAAATCTAGAAATTCAGTTCTATATTTTCTAAGCTTTCTTTAATATAATAGCGGAATAATTTAGTTCTGATTTTGATATGTTCACATCAAACAATCTTTTATATGTACATCTTCCAGGAATATGCGTCTTTAATTGAGTCTTCAGTTACGGAATGTAAAGATCTTTTGTTAAGAGTCGTTCCGTTCTTATGCTATTTGTTTTGACGGGCTTCTTTTTCTTATCTCTTTTGTTTTTTTTTCTTTCTTTCCTGTTTTTTCTTTTTTTTTTCCTCGAATTTCTGGAATTATTTATGTTAACATTTGGATGAATATCCTTATTTGTTGTTACGATCACAACGTTTTGGACTTATTTTCACGTATGTCGATCTGTGTAACTATCAAGGGATTTCGAACTGAGGCTTTTATTTAATCAATCAAGATTGACAGGTTCTGTTTCCACTGCCCATGTCTAGAGATATCTCATCTTGTCCCTTTTAGCAATACTCATATAATGGGCGCTAAGTTTTGTCTGAATCAGTACGATCAGAAGAAGATTGATCGCACAATTATTCTACTACCAATTTCTCGAACCAAGATTTTAACCCACGATGCATTTACCCGATAATATCATAGCAGATTAAAAATTTTGGTTCATGAATTTCATGGCATAGAAGTGAGGTATTCAATACTTAGAAGTCAAAGAATCCCTTTTATGACATATCTAATCTAGTTTCTCTCTTTCTATATATCTGTCTGTCTGACTGTCTCTCTCTCTGTTCATGTTTTGTCTAATCTCTCTCTCTCTCTCTCTGGACATTCTACACTTCCTCTCTCTCTTTCTCACTCTCTCTCTCTCTCTGGACATTCTACACTTCCTCTCTCTCTCTCTCTCTGGACATTCTACACTTCCTCTCTCTCTCTCTCTCTGGACATTCTACACTTCCTCTCTCTCTCTCTCTCTCTGGATATTCTACACTTCCTCTCTCTCTCTCTCTCTGGACATTCTACACTCTCTCTCTCTCTCTCTGGACATTCTACTCTCTCTCTCTCTCTCTCTCTCTCTCTGGACATTCTACACTCTCTCTCTCTCTCTCTCTGGACATTCCACACACTCTCTCTCTCTCTCTCTGGACATTCTACACACTCTCTCTCTCTCTCTCTGGACATTCTACACACTCTCTCTCTCTGGACATTCTACACTTTCTCTCTCTCTGGACATTCTACACTTCACTTCCCCTCTCTCTCTCTCTCTCAGCATGCATAGTCTTTTCTCTCTTTTCCTTTGTCTCTCTTTTCCTTTGTCTCTCTTTTCCTTTGTCTCTCTTTTCCTTTGTCTCTCTTTTCCTTTGTCTCTCTTTTCCTTTGTCTCTCTTTTCCTTTGTCTCTCACTCTGAAAAACCTGGAAACTTTAATTTCTAATGTATATTTCAAATCAATTTCTTTCGAAAACTTTCAAAAGCAATATCAGCTAAATTGTTGCATAAAGGGAAAATAATAGTCTAATCATAGACTGAACTTTCGAAACATTAATAAACAAAAGATTAGAGAGGAATCACTGGCCAATACTAAAAGGGTCGGTAAATAATAACAACTCTATTTTCATTAATTTTATAAATCTCAACCTACAGAAACGTTAACTGATCAGTCTATGAATGTTTCCTCTATGGAAAGGATTATTTTTCTCTCCTGGATCTATCTTGAATATTTATAAGTTTACCATTCGTCCATGTTCTGAATATTGCTGTAACATAAACTCAGATGCTCCTGATGTACATTTAGATATCCTTGATAAAATAAAGAATCAGTAATATTATTGGTTTTGACCTCAGGCCATGGCTTTACTTTCTCCATTTTGTAATCTAGTTTTGCTGTGTCTTTTCTGTAAATACTTTCATGGTAACTGGTCAGATGAAATGTACTCTGTGCTACATAGACTTCATAAATTTAAGCGCACTACTTGATTTACGATTAGGTTTTGTCATTTCAGAGTTGGATTGAGTAGGCTATAACAGTTAGGTCTATTCTAAGTCTCTCTTGTGGAACGCTCTCTCGGCTCCATGCTTCCAGAGAACATTGCTTTTTTAAACTTTTGAACATCATTGTCCATTGTTATCCTTCTTCTTGTTTACTCTTTTTTCTCGCTCATAATGTTTCTCTTCTATTTCATATGGTTTCATAATCAGTAATCTCTCGAGTCATAGTGTCTTTACTGCTTTCCATTTGTTGATATGATTAAAAAAATTACGATGTCATCAGACTGTTAACTGCTCTTGTATATTCTGTGAGTTTCAAATTTTCCGAGCTCTTTACTCATTATATGCCTTAGACATTTCAACTGCCTCTTTATAGTACTATTCCGTCGTTGCTCACATATTCAGTTCATGGTATTACCAGCATCCTTTTCTAGAGCCACATTTTTGGCCTCAGGTCTCATCTGTTGGACTGTCCAAATTTAACTGCCATGTTGGAAACTGATATTGCAAAGTTAAGTAGTCTCTTTGTTTGAAATAAGTATTTCCTGTTTGTTAATACTTTGCTAAGCTTTTAGAAGGCATTATTCACTATCACAATGCGCTTTCAGATTTCGCTGTTGTATTTTTCTGTCCTGTATATACATTTACTAGATAGATTTGCGTATCTGATTTTTGTGTTTTCATCTTGTAAATAGTATTTTCAGCTCTTCATTTTATTGACAACCACATTCTTTCTTTCTTTCTATTGATGGCCTCTTGCGCCTTAGTGGCATTATCTTCTTCCTTGCAGTGGATAGATTAAAAATAATTTTTAGTTTCCTTTCTATGTATGTAATGCAGTTAAGAATATGGTCGCCAATCATGAAGCCTGATAAGACTTCTAATTCAAGATTGCTTCATTGCAAAGTTTCAATAATCTAAAGAGAAGTAGCATTCTTGTTTTAAACAAAATTAGATTGTTTTACAAATATTTTATCGGCGTCTCTCAACGCCGAATATAAATTCGATTAATTTGATGATTGTTGTTAAAATACACGTCAGCCTAATAAAGAACACTTTACCCTTAACTCTCTACTGAAATATTGTAAAATAAGAATCGATATCATCTCCGAAGTCATGGATTGATCTGAAGGACTTTATCGTCTTCAGTCTAATGTTACAGCAACTGAATAATTATAGTTGATAACAAAGAGCGTACAAATAATCGATATTTTTAAGGGTGTATTCTGTATATCTGATGAAAGTACATGCTTAACTCTCTTGCATTAGCAATTGATTAGAAGCCAGTATGCCGTCGTTGTAACCTGTTTGCTAGTCGAATATATTTGCCGTTTAATTTACATGTGGTGAATTACATTTGCGAGGCGATCACTATTCACCTATGGGAACTGAGAAAACTAGTTATACCAGTGAACGTCCTCGTTCTAAGATCTATACAATGTGTGATACCCCTTGATATATATGGTATACAAAACTAAATTCACATATCTATCAACGATTATGAACATGAGGTGCTGAAATGTAACTTTCATCTCTCTAAAATCGGACACCGCAAACTCTGACAATGAATGTTGAAGGTGCTTGAAATCTAGAACAAGTTTCCGAAATCTAGAACAAGTTTCCGAAATCTAGAACAAGTTTCCGAAATCTAGAACAAGTTTCCGAAATCTAGAACAAGTTTCCGAAATCTAGAACAAGTTTCCGAAATCTAGAACAAGTTTCGAAATCTAGAACAAGAAATCTAGAACAAGTTTCGAAATCTAGAACAAGTTTCCGAAATCTAGAACAAGTTTCCGAAATCTAGAACAAGTTTCCGAAATCTAGAACAAGTTTCCGAAATCTAGAACAAGTTTCCGAAATCTAGAACAAGTTTCCGAAATCTAGAACAAGTTTCCGAAAATCTGAAGAACAAGTTTCCGAAATCTAGAACAAGTTTCCGAAATCTAGAACAAGTTTCCGAAATCTAGAACAAGTTTCCGAAATCTAGAACAAGTTTCGAAATCTAGAACAAGTTTCGAAATCGAACAAGTTTCCGAAATCTAGAACAAGTTTCCGAAATCTAGAACAAGTTTCCGAAATCTAGAACAAGTTTCCGAAATCTAGAACAAGTTTCCGAAATCTAGAACAAGTTTCCGAAATCTAGAACAAGTTTGAAATCTAGAACAAGTTTCGAAATCTAGAACAAGTTTCCGAAATCTAGAACAAGTTTCCGAAATCTAGAACAAGTTTCCGAAATCTAGAACAAGTTTCCGAAATCTAGAACAAGTTTCCGAAATCTAGAACAAGTTTCCGAAATCTAGAACAAGTTTCCGAAATCTAGAACAAGTTTCCGAAATCTAGAACAAGTTTCCGAAATCTAGAACAAGTTTCCGAAATCTAGAACAAGTTTCCGAAATCTAGAACAAGTTTCCGAAATCTAGAACAAGTTTCCGAAATCTAGAACAAGTTTCCGAAATCTAGAACAAGTTTCGAAATCCAGAAATCTAGAACAAGTTTCCGAAATCTAGAACAAGTTTCCGAAATCTAGAACAAGTTTCGAAATCTAGAACAAGTTTCCGAAATCTAGAACAAGTTTCCGAAATCTAGAACAAGTTTCCGAAATCTAGAACAAGTTTCCGAAATCTAGAACAAGTTTCCGAAATCTAGAAAATTTCCGAAATCTAGAACAAGTTTCCGAAATCTAGAACAAGTTTCCGAAATCTAGAACAAGTTTCCGAAATCTAGAACAAGTTTCCGAAATCTAGAACAAGTTTCCGAAATCTAGAACAAGTTTCCGAAATCTAGAACAAGTTTCCGAAATCTAGAACAAGTTTCCGAAATCTAGAACAACGAAATCTAGAACAAGTTTCCGAAATCTAGAACAAGTTTCCGAAATCTAGAACAAGTTTCCGAAATCTAGAACAAGTTTCCGAAATCTAGAACAAGTTTCCGAAATCTAGAACAAGTTTCCGAGAATTGTAAATGTCCTTAGAAACAGAAAATGTGCTGAAATGCTATGGAATATCATTTGCCCGATGATAGACAATTTCCTAAAATAGGAAACGGTATTTATGTTATGACGATAAAATAAATCGTGCATCAAAGCCTCTGATCCAGAGATTAGAGGTTTTCAGGAACAATAAACTACCTCTTAACTGCTTTTGGTCCTAGGTTAAAACTGTACGGACCCCAGATATGGTTAAATAGTGAGCTCGCACAAAACATCTACAGTATATTTTTATAATAAAATGACCAATACATTTGTATAGCAAAAGGGTAATCAATGCTATACCTGAAAAATATGTAAAAATACATTTTATAATAAAATTACTGGTACATTTTTGATCTACAAACTATATATCTAAAAAAAAATACATTTACCGTGAGAGTATAAATTTATGTACCAGTTATCTTTAGTTGAAAGTATAATGTTGTGTGCGTGATATTTAAATTTCGCCATTAAGTAACCCATATGATGCTAAACAAACAACAAACATAAGAAACAAAACAAGATTTGTTCTACAGACGAATGCTGAAAATACAATGGGGAGAAAATGTATGGTATTATCCTAAAATTAAAACTAACATGGACGAAAAGAAAATGCTGCTTACAAACAGCTGGAGACATGAGAACGGTTTAGGGAATTTAACATTGCACAAGAAAGGCACGAGAATTAGAAGAATTTAGCCAGAAACGAAGATTTTGATTAATGTCAGAGCAAGAATAATAATTGGATAGCGGAAGCGTTATATTGATTATCACTTGGAAATGCCAAAGAAAAATTGTAGAGGTCTGATCGTCCACATCCTGAACGGCTACAACAGAGTAAATTATTTTTGAAAATTTGTCTCTGAGAAACTTAAATATTGGTGACCGAATATAAAATGAAATATCCTCGTTCTAAGATAGGGTCAGTAATAAACCTTGGTGGCTGGTGTATAAAGAGTAATTCATATATCTATCAAAAACTACGAACATTTGCGGATATTTTTATCTTTTGCATCCATAAGTATAGATGAGTTATGATAGGTACCTCCACGAAATCGCTAAAAAAAGAGCATAGCTTGATGAAAAAGACGCCAAACTTGCCGAAAACTAAATTTTATTGTCTAAATGCTTATGTTATTATTAAGAGGAAAGACCAAAGTTTTTTTTTTAATTATTTTTTAAAAATTTTCCTTCTTTTTAGAACATTCTAAATTTTGATTAAAAAAACCTTTTTTCTATTTGTATCAGCGGAACAAGTAAATAACATAGACAATTTTTAGCACGTTTTTTTGGTATGACACACATTAATTTGAAAAATCGTGCAAAAATAGAAATAATTATCGGATGTTAATGAAACTTTCAGAAACTATTCACAGATGATCGAAATTGTTATAAATTTTTTTTTTTATGAAAGTCATGGTAGAATTTTTTTTTTTAAATATTTATTACCCCC